AACTGGACAAAATATAACCCATGATGTATATTTGTAAAATCCAAACAAAGCTAGAAGCTTAAAGTTACTAAAATGAGATTGAAAAGCATTATATATCAAAATTGACTTCAAATATATACAAGATATGCTCAAGATATGAATATTTATCACAAAAGCATGTGGGCACTATTCACAAAGTCTTTATACCTTAACTGGTAAGGCTACCAACCACAAGGGATTAATACACACACTCACATATAAATGCTCATGCATGATTCCTAAATCCAAATGAAAATAGCCAAAGAGAAACAGAGAAAGCAAGCAGAAATACAAAGGGAAAAAGGGTACAAACTTTTTTAGGGACAAAAGATAGCAGATAGCATTGAACAAAAAAGGAATCAAAGCACTAACAAAGATAGAATACTTTAAAATTACAAACTGGGAACCAGTTTTGCGTTGCAACAGAATGGACGCAGGAAGGAGGGCTCTGCCTTCCATGCCCAATTTTGCTCTGCTGGGGCCCTGAAAAGGGCCTAAAGTTGCCCCGAAGAGGCAATGAAGAAGGAAGGGTGCCTTGTTGATTCCGGAGAGATGGCTATAAATACTTACTGAGCTTGGACTCTTAATCTCAAGAGCTAGTGGGAGAGAAAGAAAATTTTGACTTTTGAATATATCTGGCTGCAGGGAGGTTAAATATTTTGAACACTTGGAACACTGTGGATTACAACCTTGCCTGACTGATAATTTTCAGGATACATGAGACAAAGGATTACTATAAAATTTTGCCATTAGGACTGGATTATAAAGGCTACATATAAAGACTAGAAAACTAGAGGAAACTTTGTTCCACTCTTACTGAGACTGTTGACACTACTAGAGGATTTCTAGGAATGATGCCTCAAGAAAAAACAAATACCTTTCAGAAGGAAATATTCTCCATGTACAGCTAATTCATCAAACAATTGTTCCACACAAAGAGGACATAAAAAGAAACCATAATGAGACTAAAAATAACCTAGATGATATAAATGACCAAATCTCCAGATTGAAGCTACAATTGGAAAGTTCCTAGATAACGACTACAAAGTATGAACAAATAAACCAGAAACAAGAGGATGAAGCAGAAGAAACGGACCTACAGATGGAGGAGATAGGAGAAGGGAAATATGGACTGCCATACACAAATAAAATACTGCAAGATCTATCTATAACAATGAAAATACAAAAGATCCCTTACTCCTTTCTCCAAAATACACCTGACGACAAGGAAGAAAATTCTAGAAAATGGAACACAGAGTCAACAGGGGAAATGTTTAGGGAATGTGGATGGGCGGAGTTCCCCCAAAAAAATACTCTACCTAAATTGTCTTCTTTATGTCAAGCAGTTTTCACAAAAAGAGCTTTCACAAAATTTTGGGGCGATTTAATTGCCTTGGCCCGGAAATCTACTTGGCAAAGAAAGAAAGCGAGAGTTAGATTTAAAAAACAGAAGATTTGATCTATTAGAGGGGGCCACTATCTGTTTAATATACCTGTTTGAATACGATTAAAAGAATGGATGACCCTTAGATATAACTAGATTTTTATAATGGAAGATATGATTTAGAATTAAAATAGCATTTTTTTTCTTATTTTGATATGGGAAATCTGAAAATAAGAGGAAAATTGGTATGAATATTTTTAGCTATATAAATGTAATTAATATTGAGAAAATTATAAACGACAAAGATACTTTAAATATTAATGTTAAATAAAACTTTAATAAGAGCATGAAAAACAGGATATTGACTTATAAATTGATATTATTTGCATAATACTAGTAAAATATGATGAAGATGTCTATATCTAATTTTGTATACATCAATAGTACCAAGAATTATAATTGTCTAATGAGGGGAAAATGGAAAAATATGGGGAAAAAAGAAGGATCAAGGAAAAAATACTGGATTATGTAGTACTGAATAGATTTATATTGAAGAAGTTAATGTTAAATATGTGAAGCCAGACAACATGCTGTTTACTAAGCTCTAAAGATTGTAATTTTAAAAAAAAAAATAATAAAACTTATAAAAAAATAAAATTACAAACTGAACTCAAACCAGTTATATTAAACTGCTCAGCAATAGGGGCATTATAAGTATTATCTCATGAGAGATCGAAGTTGAGACAAGTGAAAAAAATAGCCAAGATTATCTGAAGGTGGATTATAACCCAGATCTCTAAGTATGGCAGTTCCAATCAATCAATCTGAAGAATTTTCTTTATTCCAAGTTGTGTTTTGTTTCATTCATTCATTCCTAATTAAATTTACTGGCCACCCAACTCCAGCAGATCCTGGAAGGCATGCATAACTTGAAAAAAACCCTAAAAACAGCTAAAGCTAAAGACTAAAACAACAATAGCAAATTCAACAAAACAGGGTCCATTAAACAAATGTGGACAGCAACCTCCAGCACGGGACCAAAGACAAGTTTTCAAAGCTTTCTAGAAACCTAGGAGAGCTAGCACCGCCTTTACACTGTTTCAGACAGTAAAAGACACAATAGAGAAGGCACTATTTCCTAGGTTCCACAAGATGGCAATGTTTAATGGAAGTGACCTGAAGCACATCACTTTGCTGAAATGTACTGGATGGGCAAGTAGTACTTGGAAACAAGTAGTTTCTCAGATATCCAGGCCCTATGCCATACAGGGCTTTAGAAGTAAAAACCAACACCCTGAATTGCACTCAGAAGCCCACGCAGCTCACATAGCAGTGATGACATATATCATACAGTGCCACTTGGGGTAGAGATGTAGAGCTGGGTAACATCAGCATAGTGATTTTATCATACCTTCAACTTCTGGATGACCTAAACCAGTGGCTTCATATAGATATTGAATATGAGAGGAGAGAGCATTGAGTCCTGAGGCACCCTGCATGAGAGGAGCTGCAGACATGATCTTTCTCTACCTGTCAACACCAATCAGAACTGACCACTAAGGAAGGCAGTGAACCACTAAAGCACAGTGACTCCCACTCCCTAACCCCTACAGCCAGTCCTGAAGGATACTGTGGTTGACATTATCAGTTACAATTTCATGTAAAGAGTCAAGATAAATGTAATATAAACTGTATTACTGGTACATTTAATTGCTAGAAATTGCTTGTAGAAATGCTAGAGAGGTGGGAAGCTGACAACAGTTCAGAGTTGACCCAACTTTCTTGGTAAACTTGAAATTCAGATACTATTCTATCCAATCATCATTTGGGCTTTTTTTAAAAAAAAAAATACCTTCATTTTATTTAAGAAAACTGAACAAAGAGAAAACAAAAAACCTGTCAAGAAAAGGACAACAATAAGTGTGCATGTATGTGTGTCTTTGTGAGTGTGTAGGCTTCTCATACATAGTGTGTATGAGATGTAATACTTAAGAATAAATTTCAACAATGCAAAAGTACAATATTGATACTTTGAATAGGAAGTCATATAACATCCATGCAATTAACTAGTGCAGTGGTGGCGAACCTATGGCACGGGTGCCAGAGGCGGCACTCAGAGCCCTCTCTGTGGGCACATACGCCGTCGCCCTAGTCCTAGGCCTTCAGCTGGGTTTTATAAAACCTTTTCGCTTTAGGCCTCCACCGCTGTGTGCAAAAAAAAAAAAAAAAAAAGTTCAATCAGTCAATTTCAACTTCTTGCAGGAAAAAAAAGATCTTGCAAAGTTGGAATTGATTGATTGAACTTTTTAGTCCCACCCAGTCTGCCGTTATCACCGCAGCCATGCCACCCAAGAGGCCACGCCCAGTCAATGGGCCACACCCACCCGGCACTCCACGATGCATAAGTGGGTTTTGGGTTGCAGTTTGGGCACTCACTCTCTAAAGGGTTCGCCATCACTGAACTAGTGATTGCTAGAAGAACCATCAAAACTATTATCATAGTACATACATCTTTTTATTTTATCAGAGAGAGTAGCGTATTGGTTGCTTCCAATAATAAGCAATAACCTCACTCCTGTCCCCAAATCCTTAAAAACTTTTCTATTTTGCCCCATATACAATATATCACTCTCTTTGTACAGTATAAACAGATAGATGAATTGGAATACAGACCAACGGTGTGCAAAAAAAATCATGCTTCAAGTTCAAAAGCTTCATTTGAAGTTCAGAGTAGGGCCTTCAAACAAGCTACATTCAACCACTCCAGAAGTGCTTTGAGTTTGAGCTCAAACATCTTTTTGGAGTTCAGGATATTTCTGGCATGGTCAGAGCACTTGGTTATTGGGTCAAAGTGTTTTGGGGTTTTAAATATTTTGTGCAATTCTAAATATAAGCATGCACATTCAAACATTTCACCTCTTGATATCAATTTTCTTCTTTATCCAGTCAGAGATAAGAGTTTAGGCTACTGCTACAATTCTGGACATGTTTACAACTTTTGCATTACTTTATGAATATGGGATGAAGGCATTCTGTATTTCCTACATTAAAATGTGCATTGCCATATTATTTAATTTTCAATTATTAACTATTAATCATGCAAGAGATTGGAAAAGAGAATATTGTTCCTGGATTGCCTTTTCTTAACTTTATAGAAATTAAAAAGAAAATTTGAGCTATGAAAGAATAAAAGAAAACGCACTTCACAAGAAAATAGTCTAATTTTTTAAAATCACACAAATACTTTTCTTCCAATCCTAAGAAATAAGGTTTTTGGATATGAATAATGAAATTATATTGCTTTCAGAATTATTTCACGAGGCCAAACTCTTACTATGTAACATGGTAAACATCAGCAGAGAACTTCTTTATTTTGACTTTCATGTTAAAGTGTATAATTTCAAGGGATATATATGTTACAGTCTTGTAATTTAAAATCTAAAAGAGTGATGGGGGAGGGATATCCAAATAAAATGAGACAGCCTGTGTATTTCACTGAAATTATTTAAATAAGCTCAATGATTTTTTTAACTTCTTGAAAACAACAGAATAAAATCTTGTGCATTTTTATCTAAAATAATAACTAATGTTAACTTACCAGTTTAATTGCCACATATTCATTAGTATACAAATTTTTTCCTTAAAAAATGAAAAAAAAAAACAGGAATGTTAGAATTTATACCTCTATATATAAGAAAATTCATCCTATTAGTCAAATTATCTTCAATGAAAATATAAGAAAAAAAACTTAAACATATTTTAATAGCTTATGCAAAAATGGCATGCATTAGTTTACAGATCAAAACACACTAATATAATTCAATCTTTTGGCTTATCTTATTATTTCAATGTCTGAACATTATTTTAATATTCTTTTACTTGTGCTCATAGTAGCTAACAATTTAATATATTCAAATGTTACCTTATAGTTAAAAAATAGCAGTGCACATCTTAAAACAATGTTTTTAATTCTCACCTTTCTTCCATAATACACAAAGGACCCTCTCTTCCCTTTTTTAGAGTTATGTGGGAGCTTGAAAATCTGAATATTAGGATTTGTAGGAATGAGTGAGAGGGGAGCATAGATGAAGAGTTCTTCCATTATGTTAATGGAAGAACAAGCCACAGCAAGTACTGTACATTATTAATATGTACAATATTGTGCAAAAGTCTTAGGCCACCACTCGCTTTGTTTTAATGACCATCCATAATTATTTTTCAGTCTCTGAAACAGAAAATATAGGAAATATGTACACAAAAATTTAAACAAACACAGTTTTTAGAACAAAATGGCTTCTTCAGGCAAAATGTCAATATTTAGTGTGACCTCCCTTGGCTCTAAGTACATCTTGAACTCTTTTGGAAAGATTGTCCTGAGGTTTTCTGAGGTAATCTTCTGGTATATTATACCAGGCTTCTTTCAGCACTTCCCAGGGTTCTTCTTCAGATTTAGGTTGTCTTTTATTTCTTTCTCTGTCCAGTTGATCACATACTGCCTCTATAATATTCAGGTCTGGACTCTGTGGAGGCCAATCCATGACTCTCAGTGCTTTATCTGCTGTTTTCCTTGCTAAATATGATTTAACTGTAGTAGCAGTGTACTTGGGATTGTTATCATACTGAAAAATAAACCCATTCCCAATCGGCTGTTTTCCAGAAGGAATGGCATGATGAATTAAAACTTGTCTGTACTTTTCAGCATTCATGATACCCTCAATAAGGACAATATCACCAATACCACTGGCAGAAATGAAGCCCCAGGACAGACCTTCCATCATGTTTCACTGAAGGCCGCAAGCACTTATTTGTCCATTTCTCTCCAACTCTTCTTCTCACATATTACCAAAAATGTCAAATTTGGATTCATCACTCCATAACATTCTTTTCCACTGTTTCCAGTTTTTGTGAGCTTTAGTATACCTTAGCCTTTTCACCTTGTTCCCATTCTACAAAAGTGGTTTCTTGGCTGCTACTCTTCCATGAAACCATTCCCAATCAAGCTTCTCAGACTGTAGAGGGGTCAACTTGGCATCCTGATGAAGCTGCTGGATGCTAAGTCAGGTCCTTGCTGGACCTTTTCCAGTTTCTCAAAAAAGAAACTCTGAGGAACTACTCATAAGAATTTGGAAGTTTCCTTGGCCTTCCAGTTCTTTTTCTGTCCTTGAACTCTTCTGATTTCTCAAATTTCTTTATAAAAGATTGAATACCATATCTTCAATATCCAGTTTGTTTGTTGAGAGTGGCCTTGCAAAACTATGATTTTATGTCTGTTACATTCTGCATTTTGAGTGGAAGGGGCGTTGTCTTACCGGAATGCCTTTTCTCAGTACGGACATGGAGAATCCACCAATGGGTTTTCTCTGTCTGCCTGCTCTTGAGAACAAGTAGCCAAACTTGACATGCCCCCTGATGCTAGGAGATCCAGTCTTGATGAGGGTGAAAGTGGCTGATGCTAGGAGGAGGTGTTGGCTCTCTACCCCCTAATACCGGCCTAACAGACCTGAGAGGTGGATGTGGATTCTCCATCTCCGTACTGAGAAAAGGCGTTCAGGTAAGACAATGCCCCTTCTCAAGTACAGGAGATGGAGAATCCACCAATGGGACATACCAAAGCCTTACTGTCCCAATGGGTGGGAAACAGATAATGCCGGATCTACGTCCCTGGAAACCACCTGTTGGAGGACCCTCCAACCAAAGGAGGCGTCCGCAGAAGTGAAGCAGTCAATCCTATAATGGTGTACAAGTAGGGAGGGTGAGGACCATGTCGCAGCCCTGCAAATCTCCTCGATGGATGCCTGAGTGGCCCATGCCGCAGATGTCGCAGCGCTGCGAGTGAAATGGACTATGATATGACTGGGAGCTGGCAGGGAAGAAGACTGGTACGCCTCCGTGATACAAGCCCTGATCCACCTGCCTATAGTGGCAGCGGACACCTCTGTCCCAGGGAAGCCGGGCGGAAGGAAATAAAGAGGGCCTCAGATCTGCAAAAGGCTTCTGTGCACTTGATGTAATGCCGCAGGGCCCTGCAAACGTCCAGTGTGTGCCACTGCTGCTCCAAGTCATGGGAAGGATTGGGGCAAAAGTTAGTCAAAATGACTTCCTGTGCCCGATGGAAGAGTGAGTTGATCTTGGGCATGAAGGTGGGATCCAACCGAAGGACTACCCAGTCTCGGTGGAAGATGCAAAGATCATTCCTGACCAAGAGAGCAACCAGCTCAGAGATATGCCTGGCTGACGTGATGGCGATTAAGAATGCGACTTTGTGAGATAAGGCCCGCAATGGTATATTAGCAATGGGCTCAAAGGGCGGTTTCGTGAGTGCGCGAGGCACGCGAGGCAGCTCCCAAGAAGGATACCTATGTACCATGGGAGGCCTAGTGTTGCATGCACCCTTGATGAATGCGCGTATCCTAGGATGGTGAGCTAGAGGGACTGAATTCGCGCTAGTGAGCAAAGGTCAATAGGGCCGCCACCTGCCTACGAATGGTCGCAGGGTCCAGGCCTCTGTCCAGACCGTTGAGGAATAGTTAATTTGTAAACATCCAGTTTCCGCCTTAATGGCAAAAATTCTTCCAGGTGGAATCATAAAGGCGATTGGTCGGTGGCCTACGAGAGGCCTGAATCATGGTGATTGCCCATGGTGAGAACAACTCTTGTGTCATGATTCTGTGCTCAAGCATCAGGCAGCTAACTGTAACCACTGAGGGTCCGGGTGTTGGAGGACCCCCTGGTGTAAGGATACGCGATGCAGGGGAATCTTCCATGGAGAACAGGACAGATTCATTAGATCGGCAAACCAGGGTCTCTGTGGCCAGTACGGGGCCACGAGGATCACTTCCGCCTGCTCCTGGAGCAGTTTGCAGATGGTCGCCGGAATGAGCGGGGGGGAGGCATAAAGTAGGCCCTCCGGCCACGGAGTCCACAGGGTGTCTGTCCCCTCCGCCCCTGGGAAGTAATAGCGGGAGAAGTACCTGGGAAGTTGGGCATTGCTCACTGACACGAACAGGTCAAGGACCGGATGGCCGAACCTTTGGGATATCTCGGAAAAAAGATTTGGATGTAGTCCCATTCCGAGGGGTCTGCCTGCTGGTTCTTGACCCCCGAGATATGTTCGGCCAAGGGAGGCCAGGTTGGACTCTGCCCAGGATCCCAACAATCGGGCCTCGGACATAAGGGACTTGGATCTGGTGTCCCCCTGCCGGTTCACATGGGCCTTGGACGCCACGTTGTCCATAAGGATCACTACGTGACGGCCTCTGATCTGGTGGCGGAATTGGCGAAGAGCTAAGTGAATGGCCCTGAGTTCCAGCAATTGATGTTGTGTATCTAGTCTGCCCAGGACCAACGGCCCTGTGCAAACTGAGACTGTAGGTGGGCTCCCCAGCCAAATAGGCTGGCATCTGTCGTGATGGTGAGGCGGTCCGGCTCCTTGAAAGGTGACCCCTTGTGAGAACCACCAGCAAAGAGACCTGAGGGTGTGGACCGGGAGCCTCACCTGCCGGCTGGATGCGCTGGCGTTCAACTGCTGGAACGGTAGGAGGAACCATTGGAGCTCCCACAAGTGGAGTCTAGCCTAGGGAACTATGGCTATGCAGGAGACCATTTTCCCTAGAAGTTGGGAGAGTAAGACCAGTGGAATGGTGCGGTCCTTGTATATTCGGCAAGCTAGGTCCCTGATGCTGACCAACCGCTCTGGGAAAGATAGACTATGATGGCTCCCAGGTGCAGAAGCCTGGATGAGGGAACCGTCTGGCTTTTTTGGAAGTTCACCGAGAACCCATGCTGTTGGAGGATCTGAATAGTTAATTCCAGGTCCGACTGGGCTGCCTGGAAGGAGGACGTTTGGATCAAGATGTCATCCAGGTACCACTGGACGCGTACCGGTACCTTCCGTAGATGGGCAGCCAGCACAGCCAGGATCTTGGTGAACACCCTGGGTGCCGAGGATAGTCCGAACGAAAAGGCCTTGTATTGGAAATGATGGCCCCTGTAATAGAACCTGAGGAACCGCCGGTGATCTGGATGGATATGCTTCCTTGAGGTCTATTGACGCCAGGAAGTCTCCCCGTCTGATGCCTCCCAGGATGGACTGGAGTGATTGCATCTTGAATTTTTTGTATGTGATGTAGTAATTCAGACTCTTGAGGTCTAGAATTGCCCTCCATCCCCCTGAGGTCTTGGGAACCATGAAGAGGATGGAGTAGAATCCCCTTCCTTTGTGATCCAGTGGTACCAGTTCTATGACCTGAATTTCTAGTAGGTGTTGAATGGCCTCCTGCATAAGTCCCTTTTTGATTGGATCCCGCGAAGTGGAACAGGTGATGAAGCGACCAGGGGACTGGCCAGAAACTCCAGGGACAGGCCAAACTGGATTGTTTGTAAGACCCAGCGTCCGTGGTTGTGAGTTCCCACTGATGGAAGAAGTGGGCAAGTCTTCCCCCTATGGGAAGTGTGGTATGAGAGTCACTTGGACCTCCTTTAGGGGCGTCCTGCCCCTCAAAATGGCCTTTTGTTTTGGTTCTGCTGCCTGGGTCAAAATCCCAATCTGTCATACAGACGGTCATATGGCCTGGCCTGTCTGGGCGTGTATGGACGGGAGGGCTGGGTGGCTGCTGAACCTGTTGCTGGCCGAAAGGACT